CTGAGGGATCTTGGGTCAAGGGTCATTGGACTGAAAGAGAAAATTCTCAGTGGCTTGTTTTTGGTAGTTTTTATAGAGTTGAACTCTCAGAGGCTTGTCTTTAGCAGGTTTTATAGACTTGACGTAGAATGAGAAGGTTGCACAGGCAATATTTTGGGGGATGATTTAATATATACAAAGGAAAAAATCTGGTATCAGACTAAAAATGGTAACACAGTCCTAGTATGTCTCTTAGTTTAGAACATAGCCTGCCTCCTCTGGCCACTTCTTCATTCAGCTTCCAAGTTGTTTCCCATGTAGAAGGCTCTGAACTCAAAGCCAGAAAGAATTTGTACTATTTTATTTTAGACCATAAGTAGCACATTTTCTGTGGAGAACCAGATAGTAACTATTTTACTTGTTTATTTCATTTTTGTGGGATTTATTGCTGTTTTGATGGGGGCGGTCCTCATATCACCCACCCTGATTTGAAATCACCCAGTGCTCCTCGGTGCTGGGATTAAAGGCACACGCTAGCATTTTATGTATAATATTTTATTATTATTTTGCTCGGCTATTTTATTATCTTATGATGAATATGTTCTTTGGCTCTTCGGTATTTGCTAACTCAGGGACAACCACCCAGGCCTACCTTTGTAGCTCAGCAGACAGTATGTAAATGAATAGTGATGGCTGTGTGCCAATAAAACTTTACATAGAGATGCAGAAATTTGAATTACACGTAATTTTCACATCTCTCAAAATGTTATTCTTTAGCCTCCTCCCAAGCCACTTAGAAATTGTAAGTGCTATTCTTAGCTCACACAGACAGAACTGACAGCACCCTGCCGTCGGTTGTGAAAAAATGCATTCTGTGTCTATTCTAATAAATGTAAATTGGAGGATGGTCCCCGGTAATTTTGGTCTTTTCCTATGCCCCTTCTGGGCACTGTGCTGAACTTGGAGGTAACCATGTGTTCTCTGAATTACTTCCTTATTCATCTGGCAATGACTCGAGCACCTACAAGGTATAAAGAGACAGAAAGATGGA